TAATCAACAAATTCTAGGTGTTATGGGAAATGGACTTACAACAGGTTGGGACAGAGCTGTAAAACCAGAGCAGTGCTGCAGCATAGCATTCAAGGTTTAGAATAAGCTAAGATAATTAAAATGAAATCAGATAGTGGGATTATAATTATTTCTCATACATTTTCCAGCAGAAGATAATCTTGTAGCTTTGAACTTTTCCCAAATTCAGCCTGAAATTGTTTGTTGCGTTGATTTCTCTATCTCTATTTAAATACTCATTTTAACAGATAGTTAAAGGGAGCCAATGCTTTCCAAAGTGGAGTTACAGGATATGTTTCCCTGGGAGAAACATGCCTTTTGGGGAGATTTTGTTAAATTCCTGTATGTAGAGAGAGTTTTGCAATTTAACAGGAAAAAATGGAGAAAGCAGCCATAGATTTTTGTGACCTCCACAAGTATTTGGTAAAATCTCCAGGTCGCTGGGAAAAAAAAATAAACAAAACAGATATTCCCTCAGGTTTTTTGTATACTTTTTGAAGTTGAGGTGAAGACCCTCCAAATTTAGTTTGCACCAAAAATTCCCCTCAGATGTTGATTCATCTCCTGTGCCAAGGATCTTGGGTATGTCGTGTCTGCAAACATCAAACTCCAAGTGCGGGTGGAAGATTCTGAGAAAAATGGTCTTAAAATTGCTCCTGAGAGCAATCATGGATGTAGTTGCAGGAATTGAGAGGTCACATTGCCTCAGAGCTTCCAGGAAAGTCAAGGAGGATAGGGAATTGGGATAAAGCAGAGTGTGAGAGAAGGATCCTCAGCAGCTGAGGGGAGAGGGAGCTGAGAAAAGATGAGTGAAATCCACTGCGTATTAGTCGGATGCGTGGGGAATGCTGCAAAAACGCAAAGCTCCCCAAAGAATTGTGCTGTAACATAAATGATTCATTTTACAGGTGGTTTGGCTTTTTGTGGGTTGTTTAGTTTTGGGGTTTTTTTTAAATTTTCCCTCAGTTTTCCTGTGTCTATGTTTCTGTTATTCTGAGACTACTAAAATTATGGCAGAAACCTTGTAGGGTCTGTCTCAGGGCAGTAAGGAACTTGTCCTGGTGAGAAATCCTGTTACAGGTTTGGAAACAGTTTTCCATTTCCATGTAAGTGTAGATATAACTTTGATGCAAGGGGTGGCATCATGAAGCACATTTGCTTTTCATTCTTTTTTTTTTTTTTATTATTCCTTGGCAAAGCTGGAACTCTCTTGAGATCAGCTGTAGTTTCACCCATGGAATGTGTCTCTACTTCCTCCACTTCAAATGGATATAACCCAATCATTGCATTGATGTTTGGGATGGAAAGCATTAATTATATGATTCTGCTGTCATGGAAACCCCAAGGGAAAAATTAAGATCTTTACATTAAGTGAGAGCTTTGCGTGGTCTCATGTGAACATGACTTTAGATAGATGTCCTAAGAAGACTTGAGTAGATGAGTAAAATTTCTAAACATGTGTGATGTATGCAGCATAATAATTACTCCCTTACTGAATAGAGCAGAAATCCTGCTGTAGAGGGAGGGCAAAGATTGCTCCCTGTATATGCATATATGGAAAACACAAACTCTGGAATTTCTTCGTTGCTCAGTGCTTACATTTCTGAGGTTGCTGAGATTCCAGTGTGCAATGTTACCTCGGGGTTCTTAAAAAACCTCTTTGAAAATCTCATTAAAAGGGATGTGTTTGTTTTTGTCTCTCAATTTCCTTCAAGAATGGCTGTGGGGCATTAAGGCACCATTTGTAATCTCAGTTTGGCAATCACACTCTGTTAACCTAAACTAGCAATAATAAAGACTTAGATAGATATTATCTAAAATAATATTAATATTTAATAATATTAATAATATTCATAGTTTAATATTATTATCTAGAATAATATTATATTATATAAATTATATTATATTATATTATATTATAATATATTATCTAAAATAATATATTATTATATATTAAAATATACTACTATTTAGATAATATTATCTAAAATAATTATTATTATTTAATTAATTATTATTATTATGAATGTAATATACAAGTGAGGGTGACCATACCACAGTCTGCAGATCCTGTCTGGGGAAGAGAATCTGTTCAACACATTCTGTGCTTTCATCTTTCTCCTCTGATAGAGGCAGGGAAAGGGTCCCTGAAGCTCACAGAAATTCAGGCTGGTCCTCTCCACAGGACAGGCTTGGTGAGCTCCACGGGATATCATAAAATCACAGAATATTAAGGTTGGGAAAGACCTCCAAGGTCATCAAGTCCAGTCTTTGTGCCAAGTCTCATTGAAGGGATTCTTTCAAGGCTCTTCCTGAAGGTGTACACTTGTCCAGTGAAGGGACGTGCTGCTTTTGCTCATATATCAGTATTTTTATAACTAAATGACAAAACCCTGGGATGTTGGGATCCTGCCACTCTTCCTCAGGATCTGTGGGAAAGCTGGTGTTTCCAGGAAGGGATCAGAAGCTGCTTCTACAGCTCCGCCAGCATGTACAGATTTATGGCTGGAGACTAAAGCAACTCAAAGAATTCAACGTTTTCCTTATTAAAATGTAAAATAAGATTAAAACAAAAACAAAAACAAAAACAAAAACAACAACAAAAAAATAAAATCAAACAACCCAAAACTAGGAATAGGCAGGAGAATCCTGCCATGGGTTTTATGGCTGTGAAGGGCAGTTATGCTAAATATGCTAGGAGATATTTTAAAGAGCAGGAATCATTACCTTGGCCTGCCATCCAGGAAAAGTTCATAAAATGTGAAGCAAATCCCAGGATCCAGACTGGGCTGCATCTCTCCTGTCCTCTGATCAGCCTCAGTCTGTTTATGGTATAGTTGGTTAAAAGCAAGGAAAAAGGGAAGGGAGAAGAGACTATGCAAATGCAAAATGAGAGTGATTCAGACTTTGTAATACTGGAAAGAGGAAAAGAAGGGAACGTGTCTGCAAAGGGAATGATGGAAAAGCCATGTGAAATGATAACTGTGCAGTCTTTGAAGTTCTTAATGGGACTAGTTGAGAATTTTGCTTGAAGCTAAATGACCCATTAGCATCCTCTGCTGACCAAACACAGGCTCTGACGTTTTAGAAGTGGACAAGGACATCCAAGTGCCTTTGAAAGTCTGCAGTTTGAAGCAGAGGTTTCCTGGTTTGACTTGGAATTAATGAAGGTTAAAATTAAAGGGGAAGCAGTAGCAAATCTGTTGTCTCCCGGGCTGAGCTTTCAGGATGCATTGCAGTTACTCCTGAAGAAATTAAAGCGTCAGTGAGGATCCACTGTGAGGAAACATCCTCTGTGTGTGAAAAAAATAAAAAAAAATAAAAATTTAAAGAGAATCAGAAAATCACAGAATGTTTTAGTTTGGAAGAGACCTTAAAGATCATCTCATTCCACCCCCTGCCATGGGCAGGGACACCTTCCACTACTCCAGGTTGCTCCAAGCCCCATTTATTTCGGCCTTGGACACTTCCAGGGATGGGGCAGCCACAGCTTCTCTGGGAAGGATGTGCCAGGGCCTCACCACCATCACAATAATTTCTGTGAGCCTTTGACCACTCATATTCTCCCCCACAGTGTCACAGTAAACTGAGGGGTTTTGGGAAGTAGAATAGTGTCCCCCTCATACACTCCCTCCTAGCATGCCTGACAACAAGATCGCTCTTCACAAATGCACATGGAATGATATTTTTAAAACACCCTTTTTTTTCCTCTTGCAAATCAAAGAAAATCTTGCTGTTTGAGTGATTGAAATCTGATGGAGAGCCACAATGATTGACTGATTATCTGCTAGGGAGGCAGGACAGTGCAGTGTTTTAAGGCAAAAAAAATAATAATCTGGAAATCCATACTTTGATAAAACCACCAGTTTGATTGGTGATTGATTCTGGAAGAGAGGACAGCTCATGCATCACTGTTCCCTGCTGGAAGTGCTTCTCCAGCTTGTTTGGGCCCTGAGAGGGAATGAAGGACAGGATCTGGAGCACCAATGGAAGAGATGAGTCTCCTGTCCTTTGCAGTGTAAGAGACAAAAACAACCACAGAACAGAGCAGCTGGGGAACAAAACAAGGCAGATTGGGAGACCTGATTGCAGCAGTTAGGGAAAGGAAAGGAAGGAAAAGTGGATAACAGCAGGAATATTAACATCATCTCTCCGGAGAGAGTGTTGCTTCAGTTGTAAGGAAGGTAAAATATTCTGGAATAAACTAACTGGTTTGTTACATCAAGATGATGTTTCCAGCTCTGGTGGCTGGAGGACTGGTTCATCTGGTCTCAAGGAAAATGTCCAAGTTAAGGCCTTCACTGAAGTTACTTTTCTGTGTGAGTACTGGATAACAGGACTAACATTGCAGGATCATGGAAACACCCTTCTTCTAATCCATCTGAAAAGGAAGAAAGGGAACTGAATTATCTGCAAAGATTTTAAATAGGGAGAAACAACATCACGTCCATGGTGGTCACTAGGAAGACTGATGGGTTGAAGTAGAAAGAGACATCAAGATTAAAACTCCGTAGAATACCTTTTACCATACCTGAAAGTGGATGAGATCAGGGTGATTAACACTGGAAGCACATTTGCTTGCCCTGTGAACAGCCCATGTCAGTGCTTGTCTCAATGTCACTGCACAGGAGAGTGGAGAGGGAGCTCTTTCTCTAACAGGGAACAGATTTCTCCTGGATGCAGCCCCAACACCCCCAGACCAAAACCAAACTGAGTGGCCTTACCCAAGTTCAGCCCTCCAAGCAGAGCCTGGAAATTTAGTGTGACACAGGGATTTAAGCAGGAAGAAAGTAGTGTAGAAAAAGGGTATTGTATCCAGGAGGAGAAATCTGGATTATCCAAAAAGGATAAATCAGTCCAAAAAAATAGAGAAATTCTCTGTATTGCTTCAGCTTGTTCCAAACCATTCTTTCAACGGAAATACCACATTTCTTTGTGGATTTAATCTCCATGAATTAATTTCTTTGTCTTTCTCCTCTCAGCTACGAGCCAGGAAGATGAAGTGCTGCCTTCTCTCCATCGCCTTGGCTGTTCTGCTGCTCATTGTGATAATCATCGCGGTCTCCGTCAAGCGCTGACCTGGCAGAGGTTTGCACAGGTAAAACCCTTTAGCCAAGTCTTCTATCATACTCTGTAAGGTGCCTGAAAAACAGTTTAAGAAGCTGATTATGGTAAGAAAAAAAATATCTGCAGAGTGAAATATTATGAATATATTAAGCGCATACTAAAATATTTTCTTTTAAAGGTTATTAGAAATATTCTTATTGGATCCTTAAAATTAAGCCAAGGTGATAGTCCAACAAAACAACATATGACCCTTTCCTCTGCTGTTTGTGTTGTGTTTGATTTTACATGAATCTCACAGCAATGATAACTAATGAATCCTAGTTATTAGGATTAGGAGTCGGAGATGCAGAAGCAGTTTTAAAGATTCCAGGCTGGAGCAGGGTCAGGGGAAATCCAACAGCCCAGAGGTGTTCCCAAGTGCTTTTATCTTGTGAGATGTTTCAGAGACCCTCCTGAGGAGCAGGAAGACAAACAACTGGAGATTTCAGTAGGGATGAAAAATAAAAACAGATTCCTGATGATCTTTGCTCTGGATCTATAGCTAGATGAAATATTGGTCTCTAGTAGCCTTATAGGCTACCTAATATAGGTGAGACAGAAAAGCAGCTTCATTCTATTGCTGAGGTTTTACCTATAGCATGTTTACTTTGTAAAACAAAATGTGATTTAAATGTAATTATAAGCCACAAAAAAACCCAAAAAAACCCCAAAAAAACACATTTTCCTTCCTTTTCCCTCATTGCCCTGAGAGAATGACTCATCAATTATTTGTGATATTCTCTTCCTGATGCAAAGCATGTCTGGGTTTCTCCTTCTTTAGAAAGTTGCCAGGCCATTATTAAAGGAGAGAATATCAGATTTACAGATTTTCTACCCCCAAAGGGGGGCTGTGTGTCTGCTGCCAGGGCAGGGGTCCCATCTGGTAAAATGCATCCCAAAAGCAGCAATGGGACTTTTCCTGCAGACAGAAACTGTCCAGTGAAACTATCCTTGGGAAAGCACAAAGGATTGAGAGATTTTGTTAATTTTTTTGTTTAACAAGTGTTCAGTGTTACTTGAAATACTCTTCTTCCACATGAGGATGAGGCTACTAAAGTGTCTTCTTCCCACTGGGAACAAAAATGGATTGACTCAAAACCATCATGGAAAGATGGTTCTTCACCCTTCTTAAGCTTTGGCAATTTCTCTTCATTGTGGTCATCAAAATTTGGGTACAAGAAGGAATTGTACAAATCAAAAAAAATTAAAATTGTTGAAGGATGTCAAGAACCATCTCACTGGTTTGGGTGAGGATGATCACAAGCCCAACTTCATTGCTAGGGCAAAGAGGTGAAAATATTTTACTACACTTGAATCTTCACTTAGGTGTTTGGCCAGCCCTGAAGCAAGGATGATATCAGTGAAATGGACTTTTAACTGACTGAATATCGATGTTCTTACAGCATATCTATCCATCTATCTGTCTATCTATCTGTTTGTCTATCTATCTATCATTTCTATATATTTTTTTATCTCGTTTTTATATAAGAGACACTTCACTTGTGTGCAAATCAGGATCTGCCCTGATAATTTAAATCTAGAACAACTGCAATAATTTTAATTGCATTACTCTGCTTTTACTCTGCACTAGTTTGGGAATGTGTTCTATCAGGATAATCTGTAATATAACACAATTTCTTTTAGTATAGTTAAATATTCCTATCTACTGGAAATTACAAATCTTATCATCATTAGTTGACTACATCTAGATACATTTTAATCAAAATCCCTTTAGTGGAGAAAGTCAGAGAACAAAATATTCTTATAATAAAACTCCATTGGAAAACTAAAATTAATCTCCTGCTATGAGATCCATGTCTTGAGGGAAGTGAACCTAGAGATACTAATGAAAGCCCCAGGAAAAATATCATGCTCTACTTTTCATCATCAGTTGTGAAACTAATTATTGAGCTTCTAAAACAAGAGTTACTCTGCAGCAGTAGAACTGGAGGCAGGACCTGCATTGAGTTATACTGGAACAGTGATGATTTCTGATCTTTATATATGGGTCTTAATCAGCTTAGCCCTAGTGGTGTGCAGCAGATTTTATATTTATGCTTTGGGGATATCTAAACCAGGATGTTTTCAGGGTTTGTATGTCCACAGTTATAAATTAAATACTATTGTGATTTTTAATGCAAACAGATTATTTAAAAATCCATGTTTTTTAAAATATCAGTGGATATAAGGACTACCTCAAGAAACAGGTTCATATAAAGCTCTCTTATACACTTTAGGGAGATAGAGAACAGCTGGGATTTAACAGCTCTCCATGGCTTCAGACAAAATAAAGGGAGGAAAGCAAGTGAGGGAACTAATTACTAAACACCCTGGTTGGCACAGGACATATCACTGAATAAAATCCCAAGTTTGGTAATGACTAGCAAGAACTTCCACTTAACATCTCCTCAGAATGTTTGTTCCATGCTGGATTAGTAAGGAGCCAAAAGAAAAAGGCCCAGCCACTCCATTCCAGTGGTTTAAATCCAATTTGCAGGATATTAAAGATAGGCTTCTTTAGCTTTTGTGGCTGGTGATAAGAAATATGAAGGTCACTATTCTTTGAATTAAAGAAATTATGCCATTAATATCTATGATCACTATTAATTGTTTTGATCATTAGCATATAAAGTTTTTGTTGTTTGGTTTTTGGGTTTGTTTTTTTTTAATTGGCTGATGTTTCTGCTTTTGCAATAATGATACTGAATCAACAGTCCTTCTCCAAAGAAGAATTTTTTTCCCCACACCACAAATCAGACTTGGACAGACAAGCCCATTCCTCTCATAGGGGAGATCACTTGATGAGTCTTGCAAAGTAAAAAGCAGTTTTCCCTGTGAGTTTCCCAAGCAGTTGTGCCATCACTGGCTGCTGCTCAGTGTGTGCAGAGAGAGCAGCTGTTCAGGAGAGCTCCCAGCCCCGACTTTTGCCTGTCGAGGGCCCTGCCATAAGTGTGTCACTGCTCCCTTGGGGCAGTTTGTCTGGCAGAGAGAGAGAAAAGTGTCTACAGAGCGTGCAGAGAAACTCCTGAGGACTTGTGTCTGTACATTTGTTTGCTGACACCTTAGGAAAATAGCCCAGGAACTTTTGGGTCACGTTGTGCACATCTTGGAGCAGCACTGCAGCTGCTCTTTTTGCTGTTCCATCAACATCAGTGACCATTCAAAAGGACAATATTGCAGGAGCAGCCTCAAAGAAGCTTTTTTGTTAACAACAGCTTTGGATAGTGTCAATATTTCAGCTAGACAGACCTTCTGTGCCCTTCTTTTGACTCATTTGCATGAGTGCACATTTATCCAAAGTGACAATCAAGACTGTTGGAACCTTAAGTTTTAAGCCTTCTTTATAGGAAAATAGAGGTGACAAACTTTGAGAAAGATGCTGCATGTATGTGACAGCTGGAAAATACAGTTTCCAGTGACAACTTCATCATCTCAATCCCCTTACCCAAAGAAAGAGAATGATGACTGAGCCCTGTTCTTGGGAGAAGTCCTCACAGCAGAGGGTGCCTTCACCATTACCAAGACACAGCAGAGGGTGCCTTCACCATTACCAAGACACATTTCTGTCAGACAGAGGTTACTGGACTGAGCACACAGACTTTGCCATGTAGATTCCTTAAATCCTGTGGGCTGTGACTCATCAGATTTTCCCAGCATTTAGCAACTTAAAGCTCAAAGCTTTCCTGATACAGGACACAAGTTATCAAATCTTTAATGAACATTCATGCATTCCTTTTTTGATAATTTGACCATTTGGATTTTGAACCATCATAAACTTCTAAAATATTAACTATCCTGAGTGAGGAGTTGCACTCTGATTACAGTTTCCATGTAATCTTGAATGTACAGACATAAAGATAGAATGGTCTGTATTTAGATGGAACCTTACAGATCATCCAGTTCCAACCCCCTGCCATGGGCAGAGACACCTTCCACTACCCCAGGGAGCTCCAAGCCCCATCCAGCCTGGCCTTGGACACTTCCAGGGATGGGGCAGCCACAGCTTCTCTGGGAAACCTGTGCCAGGGCCTCACCAACCTCACAGTAAAGATTTTCTTTCTAATATCTCACTTAACATCTTGGACAATGTCTCCTTAATTGGGCTGTAGGCCATGTAAAAAAGTAATAATCAGGCTCCAAGTATGTGTTTCCTGACTATGCAACTCTCTTGTTTTTAATTGAAATTGAATTATCATAGAAAAATGGACAATATTGTTTTAGTTTGTCTTATTTTTCCCCTCCCTCACAGTTACAGCTTTCCTTGCATAATTCATTTACGGGCTTCTAATCTGGTTACATGTTTTATGTACCCTGATCAATGAGGCTGAGGTTCAGACAGCTGATTTGACACAGCCCATCCTTGAACAGAGAAATAATTTAACCTAAGGAACTCCGTAAAGTTCTGTTTTGTGGTATTGCTTTTGCTTTTTAAATTGTTATCACAGAGCTTTTCTAGGTGTCTCTGTTTTCATCACACATCTATATGTGGCTTACTATGTGAGTGGCTAAGTTTTCAATCTTGTTTCAATCTTTCAAGCTCTTTAAGGGTCATAATATTTTTGGCAGCTGTCATGAAAGCCTAAAATAATTCACCCCTCTGCCCTGGCTGTGGCACTGCTGCCATATTTGCTGTGCAGCACAATCAGGAATCAATAGCTCTCTAATATTTTTTTTCCCCTGTACCCTATTATTTTGAAAACATTCTTACATTTAGAGTCAGGTGTCAATTCTTGTCATTTCAGTCCTTGTCTTTTAGCCTAAAATTAATTGCTTGGATCCTGGCATCCCGGCTCAGTTGTTGCTCTGAGAAGAAGATTGAGGTACATTCTGATTCCACAGTAACTTTTTGCTTCAAATTTAAGTGAGTCAAAAACAAGATCTGAATTTTAACTATAATAATGCATAATGGACCTAGGTCTATGATTTGGCCCAATTTCTTAAATTAGGCTAACATTTGTGTCCTTTAAGACTTTCCTGGTTCCAATGGCCATG